TGATCTTGTGCTAATTACTTCACTTCTTGTGTCCATGGTTTCCTAGTCTGAAAAACAGGAATTTTACCTAGTCTGTAATATGGTCTTGAAGGTGAAAAGCAATAATGCATAGAAATAGCACTGAATGCACTTTGCCTGACACTCAGTAGGCACACCTTACAACTATCCCTTTTATCCCATTATCAATAGCATCATTCTAATAGTGAAATGTTTTAATATTTTCCTCTTCAAAGATCTGCTGTAATGTTTCAACTCATTGTACAAATGATGTGATTTAGACTTTAGAATTGTGGATCATTTCTCTCTCTCTCTCTTTTTTAATACTGTGGTTTGAACTCTGGGCTCACAATTGCTAGGAAAGAGCTCTACCCCTTGAGCCGCTCTGTTGGTCCCAAAAATTGGCAGATCATCTGGATTTCCACATTTATCTCCAAAGTAGTAAATTAGTCACTGGGAAAAGTCTGTCTCGGGAGTAACTAACTGATGATATTGTGCGCTGTTGATTTTAGAGATAATGATACTATTCCAAGACCCAAGATCCAAGCCACCAGCAAGGTAGAACTAAAAACTAAGTCTTAACAAATGCAAAGTAACAAGAGGACCAAAATGGGAGCTTCATCATTTCCATATTGTAGTCTCTACTCATAATTATCCTGATTTGGAGGAGCAGAATATTTTACTTACATTTCTCTGTATAGGTTCTTGGCAATAGTCTGCTAATGTACTCTGTATGTGTGGGTAAAATAATGAAGTGTTTTTTTCTCTATTGAGAAGATAAAAAGCAGGAAATTTAAGATATAAAATCACCATTGATGTTCAAGAGTTGTTACCCATCTCACGATTCTGATTGTAACTAAGTTGTGTGGTTTTATGATACATGTATTTTATTCTTAGTAAAATGAACCTTTTATGAATAAATTCTGTGTTTCTTCTTTTTTTTTTTTTTTGGTGAGACTGAAGGATGAACTCAGGGCCTTGAACTTGCTGGGAAGATGCTTTACCCCTAGAACCTCTCCAGCCCTTTTCGTTGGTTATTTTTGAGATGGTCTTACTTTATTCTCCAGGTGGCCTGGACCACCATATTCCTATTTATACTTCCCACATAGCTGGGATGACAGGCACGTGCCACTATGCCCAGCTTTTATTGATTGAGATTGGATTTTCCTGAACTTTTTGCCTGGCTGGATTTGAACCATGACCTCCTAGTCTCCACCTCGTGGGTAGGTAGGATTTGAGGCTTGAGGTTCTGAACCCAGATAACTCCTATTTTTTTTTAAATTAGAAGAAAAAAAAGAGAAATTTTCCAAGTGTGTTCTTTTTTGTTGTTGCAGAATCAGGTGTTTTCATAGCTATTAAAGGAAATTCTGTATGGTGTAAAAGGGAAGACTCAATCATTATGTAGCAAAACAATCGCATAAATCCATAACTTGAAAAATAAAAATGAGTTTGCATGTCAACTAAGACCTCCTCTGGTTTTGGAATGTATGCATGGCTGTTTGGGTATTTTTGGCCAGTGCAGCTGTTCTTACACCACTACTATGCATCTTTTAGTATGTGAAAACTCTCCAAAACATTATCTTACATTTTTATTCTTACAAAACACTATGACTTAGTAGGATGATTTGTTCTCAATTTAACGTTCAAAAGGTTAAACTAACCTTACTCCAGATAATACTGTTGCCCACTGAAACAGAAACTTCTAAGTGTTCTTTAGTTTTGGGCTTTCTGTTGGTAAGATCCTGGGAATTCACCAATTTAGCAAAATGGTTCTGAATGAGGTCCTTTAAATTGCTTATAGCAACCTCTTTTGCTTGTTATTGTCTATAACACTCTTATTGTAAGTGATTTGACAGAATTATTAGATACTTTGGTTCACAGGAAAAAAGAAGTTCTATTCTGGCATCAAAGTATAATATGTGTAGAAACTTATGCAGCTATTTTTATAATTCTAGCAAATGTCATTTATTTTCAAATTAGTATCTATGAATGGAAATGTTTTGGTAAAGATATAAGAACACTTAATCTATATATAAATATGCATTTAATTTAAAACGTGATATATAACATATAAATTCCTCACTAGATATTAAATGAACATACTTGAATATGCTTACTGCATATTTTATTTTCACTATAAATATATATTTACAGTACATAATACATATTCATATTGCAGCATAATTTTCCTGTATTTTTAAAAGTTTAATCCTACCTCCTTTACTTAGTTGAAATATATTTTATCATGTTTACCTTTTTTGTTAATAAGGAAACACTTTATGCAGATACAGACATTTTATTTCCATTTCAAAGATGTCAACACTGAGACCAGAGAGGCTAATTATCTCATCCCTAATTTCATAGCTGGAAGGCAGACAGAGCAGAACTAGAGCAACAATCTGATATGATTCCATGCATTTCAGGGTCTGTTCCACTGTGCCCTCTTACATCTCACTCAGTTTTGACTGATGGTTTCACACGCTGTTTCAGGTCTTTCAGAATTTTTTTTAAGGGCTGGCTTAATGGCTCAAGTATAGACCCTCTACCTAGCAAGTGTGAGGCCTTAAGTCCAAACCCCAGTACCACCAAAAAAGAAGAAGAAGAAGAAGAAGAAGAAGAAGAAGAAGAAGAAGAAGAAGAAGAAGAAGAAGAAGAAGAAGAAGAAGACTTTTTTATTTATTCGCATTCTCCTCATTGCACGTGTACCATTCCATCCTTGTGCCTGCACATAACAGAGCTTCTCCCTCCACCAAAAGATGCTGCTTTTAACTAACAGTGATAACAGTGTTGTGGGGCAGGGTAAGATAATCACAGAGAGAAATGGCCATGCAAACCCTGAGATAGAAGGAACTGAGGTCCCAGGAAGTGCCAGTGTATATTCTGGGTAACTAGAGAGAGGGACAATGAGTTTATGGCATCTGATTTTGACATCAGTCAGGTAATCTTTAAGATTTAGCAGTAAATGACCTACAATCCTCAGGTTGTGAGATCTCTGTAAAAGCCAGACTGTGGTCAGATAAGTAGAATGTTTAAACATATATTTAAACATATTTTCTTTAATTTGAAAAAATGCAGGATAAAATTTGACTACTATGGATCCACAGGTCTTGCAAATTTTGAATTGAATTGTGGGGTATAAAGAGGAATTCTTAACTGTGCAACTCTTTTCCTGAAGGTGGACAGTGCTCAAAATTTGGAGTTTCTTGCCTCAACAATTACATGTGCCCTGTTTGATTCATATCAGTGGAAATTTTCTGAGTAAAGCATGATCAATGATTCCAGTTCGTCAGGCATCATTTACACTACTGTTCTATCAAAATGCTTTTGTAACGGTCATAAAAAGGTGCTACACTTGGGAAAAGTGCTCTCAAGTTGATGGATGTGATAGAAAGAAGAGTCATGAAAAGTTCGTGAACTGATGTGGCTTACGATTTTAACTTTTATCTGGAATATTGCAATACTGTTCCTTGTTTCTGAGAAGACCTTGTTTTTTTCAGTGACGGATTCACTGAATCACTTCTAAAAGTTTAATTCTAGGACTTAAAAAAGTCAAATAGAACAAGTTTAATCAATTATGTAATATGGAGGGGCACACTAAGATCTATTTGGTAAATTAGACATAATTTATTGTGGTTATTTTTAATAACTTTAAAATACTTGTATACCAACGTTATTCAAGGAAAGTTAGTTTTATAAAGTGGGAGTCACAACAGGTACAGGATTGTTATATTTAATGTCAGACTGAGCATCTTTTCTGATACCATAAATAAAAATACTTTTTAACAGTGATTTGATGGTTAGATACAATATGGTTTCTTACTTAAGTTGTTTTAATTAACCTTCTTCCGTAATTTAATTTCTTTCTTTTTTCTGAGATAATTAAGTTTTTTACATTTGTTGATATACCAAGTCCCCATACTTTATATGTATGGCAAAATATAGCAAAAAAAGCTAAAGTGTTAAATAAATATTACTCTTGTTATTATTGGGTTAATATTACTGTATTTATTAGGAATGATAAACTTTTAAGGAATGATTAGTCCTTTAAAGATTTTCTATTTTAAAGCTGTCCCTCTTGACAGCATTAGAAAGTCATTCTCAGCCAATTATCAGAAACAGAATTATAGCAAGTTGTTTTCTGAAAATAGGCGTGTGCCTTAAAAAGCCAAGTCCACAGTGAACACTTAAAGTTTCTAAGCTCTTTCCTCCAAAGCCTTTGAAGAGTATTAAGAGACATGGACTACAAAAAGGATGTGCTGCATATTAAATCCAATAATGGCAGAAACATTTCTATCTAAATTCAGCACAAAATCACAGGTCTGGCAAATCATAATCAAGAGAAAAGCCTATTCATGACAATTTTCAAAATGTGGGAAAATATTTATTTTACTACATACAAATACTTTAGGTCTCTAAATCCTTTATAGAAATCCCTTTGCCCTTAAAGTTCAATCTTTATGAACTAATTTTTAGCACTAAAGTATTGCTTTTCCTTATAAAAGAAAGAATTTTTAAAAGATCATTTCTGTCTTCGAAAAACTACTGAGGTTTAAATAAGCCCTCTGAAGAAAAATCTAAGATTTTGTTTCTGTCCTAGAATGAAAAGGGAGAATCCTAGTGGTCCGGAATGGTTGCAAATAGAGCTGTATAACTCAATTCTCCAATTTATTTAAAAATATCCAGAGAACTCTGTTGAATTTTAAAAAGTGAGTTCTTATGGGAAAAATTGCATGTCATAATAGTAAATTAAACAAAAGACTGAAGACAAATAATCAATCATGAGGAGTACATATCCAGTTTCATTTCTGAACAACTAAAGTATGCTAGCACATTTTTCTTTCATTTTAGCACCTTAAGAAATCTGTCGAATCCAAATTCTTAAACGTGGTGTCATTGAACTCTCTCACAAGAAGATACATCCATACATGAGCTGTAGGGGAAAATAAATACAGAAAATGCCCCCCCCCCCGACTTTGGAAATGGTAACAGAAAAAGCAGATTACCTGACACACAGAGGTAATACCTGTCCTGAACGGAGAACTCTATCTCAATAAACTCGTACAGATTCTGCGAGAGAGGCTTAAATAGTTTCTTCTCCAAGTCCTCCTTCACCAGTGATGACATTTCCGCCAGTTCCACTTGGCCGGGTATTTTGGCTAAAGCTGATACTTTGTCTCCTTCTGCCGCTTAGTTACCTTGTTTTGGTTTGCAGTCCTCACTTTCAGAACCCAGGCTCTGGACAGCACCCTGTAGGTGGGCCCCTCACTGCGGTATCTGGCCAGAAGCAGCAGCAGCCGAAACAGGGCAGCGGTGGCAGGAGCCCCACCGTCAGTGCTCAGCATCCAGCCCGGAGCTGGCTGCTCTCGGGAGCTCTCCTGTGGCTTGCTGATGGGGGAACATGTGCACGAACACGCAATAGCCTCAGATCTACTTGTGGAGTCTCCTGTCACTAAGATAGGTCTAGCAGCGTTCCCCTTTCCGGGATCACTATGCAGAGAAGGACCACTACTTCAGCTTGAGGCTATTGTATAAATCAGCTGTCTGGCGCTATTGATTCGGGTCATCTTCCATTAAGAACTTTGCTCTCATCAGCAAGAGAAAAGGCATCTGTGCTCGCTCCTAACACTTCAACAAGTTTTCTTTTCCCTTCTGCAATGTCTTCAGAGGTTTTCTTCCATGAGCAGTCGACTACACCAATTCCTGGGGCTAAATTATTTTTAAAGTAGAAATTTAAATGGGCTCACTTGGATCTTATTTATTCCTCCAATCACAAAGGAAAATATTTTAGGCACCACCTGGGGTGAAACACTGTTTCTTGGGAGGGCCAATGTGCTATCTTCAAGGAGATAAGAACAACAAATACTTAGTTGTGTAAAAATGATAAAATGGCACAAAAGAGATAAAAACTCAGAATAGAAAAGAGGTCTATATCGGAGGGATCTGAAGAAGTGCCATGGGAGTGATCTGAAGCTGAAAGATGGAGAGAAAAGTCTAGAAGTGGAGGAGGTGCATCTTGGAAGCCCACTGTGTGCCTGAGTGCTGCATAGGTAAAGCACAGGGGTGAGGGGTTTGAATGTGTCCCCTCAAAAATTCAGGTGTGGCCATTGTGATGATATTAAGAGGCAAGCTGGCCATGACAGCATCTTCCATATTAATGAGATTAAAATCCTTATAAAAGAGGCTGGCTTGCCCCTGCCTTCTGCCTGTGAAGACACAGCATTTCTCTCTTCTGGAGAATGCAACACTTATCGGACACTTGAACCTCGTGGTGCCTTGGCCTTAGATTTTCCAGTTTTGAGAACTGTGAGAAATGAATTTCTGTTCTCTGTAAATTCCCTGGTCTGTGGTATTTTGCTACAGTAGCACAAATAGATGGTGACAGGGTGTTTGAGAAAACAGGAAATAGTCCTATTTTCCTGCATTGTAAGATATGTGAGTGTAGAAAAAAAGGAATGGATAGATTAGGGCTAGATCATGAAGGGCCTCGAATGCTAGGTTAACTCTTTGGACTTTATTCTTTAGATGTAGAGAGCCAATGAAAATTTGGGGGCATTCATGCAATGATTCATTTGACAAATATTTGTCAAGGATTGACTATATAGTCAATATATAGCCAGACTGTTCTAAGAACTGGGGAAATGGCAATCCCTTGCTATGTGAAGCTCAGTCGGGTGGATGGAAAAATCATGTAGTAAGAAATGTATTGGGACATTCAGGTGCATTCAGCTGGAAGTGACAGAATACATGATGTAAAGTGAATAAGCTCATGGAGTGAGAGGTCTGAGCTCAAGGCTCATGGGTGAGAGTCGCAAGTGCTTCCTTTTTTCTTATCTGTCATCCTTGGGTGCTGGTGTTTTTGTCTTCCAAAGACAGGAAGAATGATGGAAAATGGCTCTTTCCCCCCACCCCAAGGAAGCAAAATGTTTCTAGGAAATCATACAGCAGACTACCCTTTACATCTTGGTGGCCGTAGTCAGGTCACACCAGCCATTCCTAGGAAAGCAAGAATTTGTTATCTGTGGCTGCTATCATGGAGTGAGAATTTTTCTAACAAGGAAAAGGAGATGGAAATGACTGAGCAGGCAACCAGTAATGCCTTCATGATTGTTCTAAAGAAAAACTTGATAGGCCTGTGGTAAAGTTGAATGGTGTGGAGATGGCTCTGAATGAATCATTTGCTTTTGTGAACCTCAGTTTCCTCATCTTAAGAATATCTGTAGGGTGTTCTCCTACTTTTTCCTATTCTGCCGAACTCTGGGAGTCTATTACAACAATTTGGGTAAGAGGGGCAGAGGAAATACAGAAGAGGGACTGAATATAAGACACACCTAGATAACAGCAATTTGTAAGCCATGTTACCCAATTGGATGTGGAAGGTTGAGTCATAAGTGCCTTTCTACCTAGGGAATGAGTAAATGGGCTCACATCACAGGAGGCAGGTTTCAGAGGAGAAATTGTTTCCGGCTTTTATACTTAAAAAATTACTTCCTGGAGGGTGGTGTGGTGACAAATGCCAGTAATCCCAGCTCTCAGGAGGGTGGACAAGATATGAATTCCGGGTGAGCCTGGGCCTTTTACTGACAGCCTGTCTCAAAAAAATAAAACAAAAAATTTTCCTGACTGTTTTAGTCTTCATATGTAGAAAAGTAAAGACTACTTACCATAGTCATCTATATCATCTTTGAAATCATAGATATTTATTTCTTTGCATGATTCTTCATGTTTTGTTCTCTGCTAGACTGCAAGTTCTATGAGGGCAGGAATCATGTTTTTCATACTTATTATAGATCCAAGATATGTGGTCTACCAGTATTTAGCACATAATGGTCCTTCTTGTATTCATTTATTCACTCATTAACTTATTTGCAAGTGTTTACTAAAGAACAAATAAGTGAATAAAAAAAGTTCCTTTGCATAGCTGATTTTGCAACAATATATCCCCATTGATGGAGTGGACATCTGATAGTCTTACCAGCCACTTAACCTGTACTGAGAGCTGTTTGTTTTTGTTGTCGTAAAGACATGGTCTTTAGTTGAGTCTCGAAAGTACTTCTGAAGGAAATACTGCAACCCTCTCTACAACTCTTCAGGAATAGTATGCACTTCAGTACAGTCTTAAGTGACATTGAAATTAGGATCTTGGGACTACAACTTTTTAATTCCAAAATGAAATGTTTATCATCAATTAGTGTGTTCAGAAACAATTTTCTGTGTTGACTTTCTTATGGTATCAATTTGATTGGCAGTCATAGGGGAAGGGTTAAAAAAGTCTAGTATTTTAAAATTTGTTAAAATACTAACAAATGTTTCTCTTAAGGTTCTAAAAGAACAACCTATCAAAACATTACTTAAATTCAATAATTCAAGGGATTAAACCTTAAAAGAACTGCAAATGACAATTCATTAAGAGTGGAAATGAGAAAAAATTTAGAGAACTTGATTTCACTGTTTATTAATTCAGAGGAATAAAATATTAGACGTTTGGAAGTTAACATCAAAAGGGAGCTATGGAAAAATTAAAAAATAGATCCACAAAGCATTTGTTCATGCTGGTAATATTTAATAGAGCTATTAAAATATTCTTTCCTCATAGTCAATGATTATTTTAGTCTGTAAATTTATTTTCTGAAATTCTGTAGAACTGTCAATAGTGATAAGGAGGAAAATATTGAAAAATGGCATTTTTCTGACTTATTTAAAAAATTCCCAAAATCACCCAAGTGTATTTCCTGTAGGAAGAAACTTTTAATACCTATTGTTACACTATAAGGCCCAGCTGGTCCACAATCCTGGGTAAAGCAACAAAGCTTGTGTCTGTGTAGATTCAATATCTATACAGCTGGTTCAGAGGGTTGTAAGTTATTTAGAAGAAAAGACCTTTTAAGACCTGTAGGTTAACCTGGGTGATGGTTGAGGAGCTGAAGCTTGGGTTCTAAATGACTCACAATTACAGTCAACTTTAAATTCTAAATCTAAAAGCAGACCAGATCTGTTTTATCCTTATTATAGCTGTTTTCAGAGGCCAAGGAATGATTTTTCTTTTCACTTTCTGCTTTAATCACTTTCTAACCTAGTCTTCAAATTTTTTATATTCTTTTGCAATCATGGAATTATTTGCTTAAGAATTCTGGGAGTGGTGTGAGTTGTACATAGGTAACAGGATAATCATTTGAGCAATGATAATATGAATCCCTTTTGTACAATCACAGATTATAGGAATGACTGGTTTCCAGCATACTCTCAGCCCAGGCAGTTAATGCTCCTCTGGAATTAGAATTGACTTCATTGGGAGTTCGTTGAGCCCAGATTCTTCCCAGGGCTTCTTTACAGGTGCATGAGGAGGAGTGGTAGACACTGTGTAAACTGAGGCCCCAACTTCCCTGTCTTCATTCAGACCCACTCTTCAGAGCCCTATTGTTTAAGCAAAAGGCTGTGATTACCAATCCTACCTATTACCAAGTCCTTGAGTGACCTCTAGGATAGGAGGGAAATTCTAAGTTTTGTGTGTTGTTTTTTGAAATATGTGATCTTTCAGCAAAGCAAAGAGGGAGTTACCGTTGTCCTGGTTAGACTACAAGAAGACAGAGCATTCTATGGAAACAAAGGACCCTCTTTCAAGCCTGACACAGAGGAAATCACCTTCCCACATTTATTGCTTCCATCTTTGGTATCGTCTGTAGTAATAAACTTGATATCTTTTAATGTATGACTTATGTGTAGGTTGAAAAGTGCCACTTCTATGTCATATTGCTTTTTTTTTTTCTTCTTCTTCCTTTTGTTTGCTTTGTTTTGAGGTAGGGTCTTTCCATTAGCTCAGGCTGACCACAAACTCACAATCTACCTGCCTCAGCCTCCTGTGTACTGGGATTATAGGTGTGTGCCACAACACCTAGTTTTGTTTTGTTTTTGAGGTAGGGTCTCATTATGTAGCCCAGGCTGACCTTGTACTGATGATTCTCCTGCTTTGTCTTTCCATTGAGATTACAGGCATGACCACCATGACTCTGCCATGCCTGACTTCTATGCTGTAGTTCTTAAACTTATTTGTAGGAATCAGGACACTGTTGCTCTCAATAATCTTCTATTTCAAAATTCTGTAATTATATCATATCAAATTTTTTACTCAATCCAGTACTTCCTTTGTGATTCTAGTTTAGGAATATTTTGTGAGTGTGTATGTGA